CACTTATATTTTCCTCCAAACACTTATGAATTGAAATAACTATATTTTATTACTATTTTTTTTTTAAAGAAACGTGTTTTAGGTATAAATTATGTTTTGCTTGTATATTCCTTTTAAATTAAACTAATGTTGCTTCTATAATTTTTTCCTTTCATGTACTTTTTAAGAAGTAATGCAATTTATATTTCTTTATTTTATTTTTATACTATAAAAAGAAGGGAAAAAAAAGAAACCCGAAAGAAAAAAATTAACTAGAAATTAACCCAAAAAAAGTAAAGAAAAACAAAAAAAAAGTTTGGATGGAAAATGAAAAAAATTAAACTAAAGATATATAAAAAGGGCTTGGATGAAAAAAAAAAGTCGAACAAAAAAATTTAGGAAAATTTTTTTTTATTTATTTTAGATACAAAGGATATAATTTAATTTTATTTAATTAGAAACAGAAAATATTAAATACTATTAGTCTATTATAAATGGTGTAATCCTTACAGTAGAAATGAGACACTACGAGTGTGAAGTAAATGTAATGATAAATGCAGTCAACGATGTAGCGCTAAATAAATGTTAATTTGGAGTGAGCGGTGCTGTGGCGCTCAATAAAACTAAATTACATAAAGTCAAACTTCATCATTAAAGCAAATGCCTTTGCAAAAGATACTCCCTCCGTCCTAAAATATTCTTCCCACTCACTTTTTACCCGGTCAAATTTTAATCACTTTCTTTACCTATTTTCATTAGGTATTTGATAAAATAATATAGTTTTGTCACCACTTGTTTTGTAGAACTTTTGATGTAGTTTTTAAATATATAAATTTTATTTTTTAATTTTTACACCTATAATCAAATAAATTGAATTGAAAATAAAATCGGTCAAATCTCGTAAAATGAATCGGGAAGAACATTATAGGACGGAGGGAGTAGTTAAATGCTTTCACATGTCCTTGTTTTTCTCCGCATCCGTTACAAGTACAACTCCACTGAATAAGGCATCACATACACAACAAGTACAAAGACAAGTGAACAAAAAACTAGAGATATCTCAATAACAAAGTCATATATACCTCTCCATTCCCAATGTAACTGACATTATAGACATACATCGTGTCTACATACATTCTCTTTTTAATGTATCAAGAAAGTCACAATGATCAGTTGAAGATGAATGGAAAAGTATATGTAGACATAGGAGGGCAGTTTACATTGAGTTGGGCCATCCCATGTTGACGTACATTGGCGCGGGGTGACCGTAGGGCGTAGGCCCACGACGATTCGTAGGACTCCCGGCAATTTCTTCTTCCTCGGACTCGCTCGAGCCACCTTCAGATGGAGGGCTGTTGGCGCCTGGCCTACCAAAATCTAACGGTGGCGGGGTTGGAGATGCCGCCTTACTTGTGGGCCCTTTATTGCTACCGTTGGTAATGAAGCTGCACACGACCACCTGGACCGGTGAAGCCGCTATCAGCATTCCCGAAACACCCCCGCCCATTACTCTCCCGTCTGCCCCAGCCAGTGACACACTCAACCCGCCCGACCTGCTTCGGCTAGCGTTGCTTTCGGATTCGGATAGCATGAACGAACCCGATAACGAGATGATTTCAAATCGGCCCTACATTTATAAGTATCGTGTCATATCAATCAAGCATTAATCTTTGAGTAACTATATCATCCCAAAAGTAATTGGCAACAAGCGATTAAAATTGAAACAAACCTCTAGAGTGACAGTACCGCCACAGGATGCGGGTTGGCGAAGGGTGACGTTACAAATAGTCCCATTTGCAGACAAGACACAAACTGTTCTCGGGCCTTGCTGGGAGAACGCCATTATCTTTTGAGATATATCCTGCAACAAACACAATGGGGATAAAAAAAATGATGGTTGGGATGCTATTTTGTCTTTCGTTTCGGCCAAAACAAGTTAGCTTTAGCACTATGTTTCTTCTTTGTTAAGTGATTTAGTCTGCACAATGAAATAAAAGTTAGTGTTTGAAGAGAGAAAAAAACTACTGATAAGGTTTATAAGCCAAAAAAATGCCTACCCCAAAGTCCCAAAAGGGCACTAAGTAGCTTTTGACTTGCTTATTTGGCTGAAATGTATGTTATGAAGCATTTTTCTTTTCAGAAAATTAGGCAGACTTGTCCAAATAATCCTTACCAAACAGGGCCTAGCAAAGATTTGGAGAAACACAAGTGTAATGGCATTAGAGAAAGACGCCTGACTAATAACAACTGAGTCACTATACTGACCTAATAGATATAATACTACAAATTATATCATCAACAACATTAACATACCCAATTAAATCCCACAAAAGTAGGGTCGGGAGAGAGTATGTGAATGGAGACCTTACCCTTACTATATAAGACAAGTCGCACAACATAACTATTGTGACAACCCGCCAAAAGATCTACATTGGATGCCCTTTGTATTAAAACTTTAGTACGCATTCGCAGTATTTGTATGACACTCAAAATGATATATGCATATTCAAAACATATAATGGATGTTTTGGGATCCAAGCACACTCTAAAAAGCTACACTTACCAAAGCCAATGAAGCATAACAAATACAGTAAAAACAAATCACCCAACTTGAATGTAAGGATCCGTTTGGAACCCGGAAATGATGGGGAAATAGAATTTCTATTGTATAAAGACTAGGATATGAAATATAAATGTAATGTCAAATTCAAATGTTCAATCACACAAAAGGAAATACCCATTTTTTCCTCTTTATGATAAATAAAAGACAGACATAAGAACTCCAATTGTTTTCTACTAATATGTCTGTCCAAACCTGTGTAACATTACCTATTTAGTGCATACAACTAAAGCCAGCATATGCCAAAATCATAACACTGTTTTAAGGCATATAACTTGACAACAACGCATTCCATCAAAAGTAGTGTAGCTAAAGATGCATAAGAGTTAAAATGAGTTATTGATGTTAAAAAAATGGCATTCATAGCATTTTGGATTTCTTTAAATGTCATTTCTAGCTAAAGATGGAAATAAATTTGGTCATATGACATTTATTATTTCTTAAATCTTTTAAACTCAACTCCCCAACACCAAAGGAAAGATCTTTATAGCTTTTCTTGATAGCAAAACTTGAGCTTTGCTCTTATATATTGTATTACGAGCCCAGTTTTCTAGACACCGAGGGTCAGTATCATATTATGACACTTTCCATTTGGATCCTTGCCACTCTGTTGAACCCTAAAGTTGTTCATATCCCCCTAAACCCCAAACCCATTGCCCTTACCCAGCCCCCAAATCCGGCATGGGGTTTAGGGATAGAATTTGGGCTAATGACACCCAATGTGATGAAAGAACCTTTTAATTTAAGCTAATGAAGAAAAGTTCACCTCTCCTGCATTTACTGTGAGAACATGGGGGGTGAAACTAACTCCGGCCGACCCTGTAAATGAAATCGATTAAAGATTCTAACTTTGGAACAAAATCTCTAAAATTGATTCAAATAAACAAGAAATGGGGAGGAGATATACCTAGAGGATCTTGTTTCTGTTTCTTCACGGAACCCGGAGGCCTCCCTTTATATTTTTTGGTCTGGTTTTCCGACGAAGTAGCAATGCCGGCGCCGGAATCGGAATGGCCGACGACAGAGTGAACAGGGGCAGGGGAAAGGCCCAGTGCAATGTTACTCTCTGGAGAGAACTTTCTGGGCCGGCCTCTCTTTTTCTTGACGGGCTCAACGGGGAAGCCGGGAGAGGAAGAAGCCCTGGGAGGAGAAGACCCGCCGCCGTCGGAGTAATCCGGAGGCTTCGGAGCCATACCCGACCCGACCGAGGAATTGAAGGGGAGGCGTACGCCCTGCGGCTGCTGCTGCTGCATAATGGCGGCGGCGGGGTTGTAGTTGGGATGATGCGGCGGGCAGGCCATGATGGGGTGGCCGGGGGAGCGGCGGTGCTGGGGGTCCTGGAAATGGGACTGCGGCGGCGGGTGGTGGTGGAGGTGGTTGGGTAGAGCGGGTTGGGAATCCTGATGAGAACCCATTCTCGAACCAGTGCTGCGGAAACCTAACAGAGAGAGAGAGAGAGTAGAGTGTGAAATGAGATTACAGTGTAAAAGGAAAGAAAAGCAAGAGAGAGAGAGAGAGAGAGAGATCCAATTTGTAAAGGAGAACAAAAATTTGTTGGTTCAGAATAGAGAGACTACTTATTGGTCCAAAATTCCAAAATTGGATGAAATTAAATCTCTCAACAAGATTGAAATCTCATTTGCTTCAAAAAAAAATCTCATTTTTAGGGAAATTGACCTAAATGCATTTAGTTCTAGATTTGGTTAGAGTTAAAATTAAGAAAATTTTTATTACTTGCTAAAGTGATTGTTAGGGAGATTAGCCATGATTTATAATCATTTTTAGTTCCAATCTCATTTTATAGAAAATTAGAAATGGGTCGAAATGATCTAAGACACATTATTATTTTACTTTGTCTCTTTCGTTTTGATGAATATATCTAAACACTTAAGATATGTATCCATGTGTTTAGGTTTATGTTTATTAACTTATTGTTATTAAGCACTTATAAACTGTTTATAAATTAAATATTTTTTAATAGAAACAAAATGACTTAAATGATTACTAAGTTATTTAGAAATATTTTTATAAAAGTGAATAATAATTTTGAAATAATTTAGTCTAAATAGAGAAATTTAAAAATTAACCTAAAATAAACATGTAAAATCTACTCCCTCCGTCCCCAATTAGATTACAATATTCCCTCTGATTTTTGTTCCAAAAAGGATTGCAAAGTGTTTACTTTTACAATAAATGGACTCTTTTACCCTCCCTCTCTTTTATCATTTCAATGTCAAATCTCACCCACCCACCTATTCCTATACTATTTGGGGGGTAATTTGGAAAAAAAAAATACTTATTTGACTCTTCCTTAATTTTGTCTAAAAGGGGACGGAGGAAGTATTACTTTTTTTAGTTCATGAGCAACCTAAAATAAGTATACAGAAGTAAAAGGGAATAACAATTTTTTTTTTTAAATCAAAACGCTGCTCATTTTGACTTGACTCTTTATCTGCCGGCAACCTCTCGGCCGCCGTTCCTTCATCCAGTCTCCGACGGCGGAGACCAGAGTTTTTCCCCCGGTTTTCTACTCTCCGTCTACAATTGTTTCTTTCATTAGCTCTAGTATACTCCCTACATGTGTTGGTAGACAGAGATAAGGATAGATAGAGATGGGATTGTTCAAAAGAATCGTCGGATTTCTAGGGTTTGCGAAGGATGAAGCTCAAGAACTCAACGAAGGAAACGGAGACGCGGACAAAGTTTCTCCCGACGCCGTGGAGGCCGCGGCGGCGCGAGCTCAACATCTGCCGCGCAAAGGCTTCAGTATTCCAATTCAAGTCCCAGTCGAAAAGCCTCCGCCCCCTGGACCTATACTTTTCCCTTGCACTTCTGGCGATGGGGGCATTCAGGTAAATCTGAATAGATAACTTTCATTTGAAGCTACTTATGGTTTTGTTGTTATATTAGCGCATGAATGAGTTGTATAAGTCTAAAATGCCTGTATTATATTGAATTCAGTAATTGAATTGCACTTCTGGAGGATGATTTTGACAAACTCTAGTGCGAATAATTTGCCTAAATGTCATTCTAGGAGCTCAGAGATGTCAAATGCACGAACACGCCCGACACATGTAGATTATAGTACCAAAATAAGCACTAAGCTTGTATACAATTGATGGAGTTTCTGGAAGATTGGGAAGCCATGAGAGGAATAGTTAATGGACTAATGGTGATATGATACTCCATAGAAGATACTTCATAGATAATTAGATGTGATGTATATTCCGTCCTAAAGAGGAATTGATAGTTGCAGCTAATGGGTACCGTGAAAAGCTATTAGGCTTTGGTTAGGCCTTCAAAAAGAGTTTATATTTTGAGCTATTTTTAGAGTCATTTTTTCCTAAGCATCATTCTAGGAGCTCAGAGATGTCAATTGCACCTCAGAAGCCATTTGGAGTTTGTCTCCATAAACTATTTCCAGGAGCTTATTGCAATATGGTACAAACAGATTTTATACCTTAGTCAAATTACATGTAAGATGCATTTGAGATTCTTGAAGGTGCCTATTGTAAGGAAAAGCACCACAGAGGAAGAAGATTTCACAGAAGAACATTGAGGAGAAGAGAACATTTGACAAGAGTAGAAAGATAATAAGGAAAAGTTCAAGAAACAGAAGTAGATAGTTCACTTACCCTAACCAAACATTTTAAGAGAAGTACATAAATCATAAGTCATCTTATTGTACCAAAACTAGCCTTATTTAAAACACTGTAAGTTATATTTGTATAGGGTAAAGTCTTATGAGTATTTTTTGCTGAATGCAGAAATAAAAAAGGATCACAAAAAATATGAAGAAACAGTGGACACTTAAATATCACTATAGGGAGTATTAATTGAAAAAAATTGCTTGTAGGATGGGGTTTCAAACCTTGGTGGGGAAGCTGGGGAGTTGGGGGTATCACCAAGTTACCCCTTTATCATTAAATTTCATTCTTGTGTTATCCCGTAATCATTCTAAGGGTATTTTTGGATCACAGGAATGGCTATGGGAAGAAAAAATTACCAAGGAATTTTTTTTATTTTTGTTTTGTCTAGAAAAATTTCCATAATCTCCGATGGAGCCAAAATTTCACCATTTTTTTGGCTTTGGGGTGTGATGGAATAAATCAAAATGGATCCCTAAACTGTCTGCGCTTCTTTAATTAATGAAGTAGCAGTTAGTCAAGCAATGCAACTTTCGATGTTGAGTCGGGGGTCTCTTTGGAAACAACTTCTCTACTTTCGAGTAGGGGTAAAGTCTGCGTACACACACCCTCCCCAGACCCTACTCTTGTGGGATTTAACTGAGTTGTTGTTGTTTTGTCTAGAAAAATGCACAAATGATAAATATGCTTATCCGTTTAACTTTTTTAGCGAGTATATATATTTCGTAGTCTTTGTATGCAACGACAACAATCTACCCACTCGAGTCCCACAATTGGGGTCTGGGGATGGGTGCCCGCTTGCCTACCTACCTAAAATGGTACTGTAGTAAGTAGAAGGGATGCTTCCAAAAGATCCCATCTCAAAAGAAAACAAAGAAACAGTTATGAAAAGGAAGGTACAAAGCAAAAGTAATGCTAGATGATATACTCTCTTCGTCCCAATTTGTTGTGTATGTTTTCTTTTTTTGGTTTCTGTCTGTTTCTGGTTTTAAAAAAGTACTAATATGTGGTATGCTAGTATGTGGTTCACAATATTTCTATCCCTAGTGCATAAATATCGTATACACAATTTTCTTTCACTTTATTATTAATCAACGTGTCCGGTCTAAGTAGACACAACAAAGTGGTAGAGGGATCAATAGAGAGGGAAATAATGAGTAACAAGATCACTTAGCCTTTATAAATGGAGTGATAGATTAATAAATAAATAAATCAAATGAGCATCGATGAAAATCTAAAAGAAATCCACTGAGTGCCAGTCTATATGTTATTTCCCCCCATATTTTATTTCCATTGAGTTCTCCTTGTTGGTTTCCTTGATCTTTCCTTTCCTGGGCTTTGCCAGAGCTCAGGTAGGACTGTCACTCACCTCTCTTCTTTTCTCTGAGTAAGTGCTTTTGACAATTGAGGAGATAGAAGTTCCATGTTCTCCTATCTGCAGTCTTCTCAATTTGTTAGATTTTCTTGCATCATATGCATAAAGTAATCAGCACAGAGTATATGTTAGTTATATTAAGATAACACAAACAACGTATGGTGTTAGCTATCTTTTGTACACGGATGTGTATGAAAATCTCACAAAAAATAGGTAACATGAATGAATGATGAAGCTTATACTAATTGTATAAGCAGTTTAAAAAAGCAATTGTAACGGAAAGGGTAAGGGAAAAAGCTATGAAATTGGGAAGTACATTTCTAGAGACAATGATTAAAGTATGCTTTTATATCCTTAATAGAAAGGGATTTTATTATATAATATAGTCGCTCCCCATAGCATTTCCATACACTCTTCACTGCCTCAATCTTCTTTTTTTTCATGCAGATTTGCAAAATGTTGTTTACCACTTATTCTACAATTGCTAAAAATGTTAACTTTATCCACATAGGGGTTGAGATGGTACGCCAAGCGTCTCAGGGTCGACGAAGATGGAGACGTGGCAGATGAGTTCATCAGTGAGATTCTGCCGCAGAATCTCAGCACCGAAGAGGGGCAAAAGAGACCATTCCCGAGGTTTGAAGCGAAATGCCATACAAGGCACGCCAAGGTTAGGAACCAGGCGCTCATTTCACCTGCGGGTAAAATCCAAGTGTGTGTTGAGCTCCATGGGAGACTGGAGTGGTTGTGAAGCTCATTTATTTACTGCCGGTAAAAGTGGTGAACCCTTCTAATATTTGTATTTTGTGGACACTTTTTCCTTGTGTATAGGACATGTTAGAAATTTGTCAACTCATAAGTGAAATTGAGCCTTTCTTTAGTGCATGATAATTGAGTTTTTTTCATGGTTCTTGATTACGAAGTACTTTTATTTGTTCCTTCTTGCGTGTCCATTTAATATGCACATTATTATTCCGTTTTTATTTATTTTAGAAATTTACCTTTTTTTGGGTTAAAAAGTATATGGAGCATATAAATATCACTTCATCTAACTTGGTCATACTTGTATCAACTATATCGGTCCACCAAATTTGGGACGAGAAAATAACACACAAAAAAAGACAGTATATAAAATAAAATAGTTTCATTGATATTATTAGTAAGACATGAATGTATTTGAGTAATAAAAACAATGCAGTGCCAAATATGGTATTAAACAAACACAAATCAAAGTAGAAAAATGGGAATTAAACAGTAGATTAAAACTCAAAAGTGGTAAAATTTGTAATTCAAGATCATACATAGAGACGACACCTCGACACAATAGAAGTGAAAATTATCATCTCAATCCATTCACTATAATAATAATTGTCATCATAAAAACGACACTAATAGAGAACGAAGAGGAGGAAAATAGATACAATGTGCATGTTCTTGTTTGCCTATTGGTGTTTTTGCCAAAAACAAAAATGTCATTTTTGAGAAGCGGTTTGAACGGTTGCAGAGCATTGTATCTCTCTATGCCCAAAGTAACGTCACTACAAGGAAAAACGCCATAACCAATGCTAAGCAAAATCCAGAGATGGTCAATGAAGCCTGCAAAAAAAAACCATTTTAAAATCTTATCAAAATAAGGCTCCAGCTCAATCTGCTTAGTTTTGGGGCACTTAGGCTCATTCTGCTTAATTATCTTATCAGCAAATTAGATAGAGTAAGCAAAATATGTAGCTTTTGACTTGTTTGGCTGAAATGAGTGCTAACAAACATGTTTGCTTTGCGCACATTCAGACAATGTCATTTCAGCCAAAGTGCCTTAACCAAACGGGCCCTAAAAAGCAAATAAAATTGCAGCATGCCAGCTTAAGAAGGATGCTCAGAGTCTTGGCTCATTAACCTTTCCTTGTGACTGAAACCCAAACTTAGCAGTAAACCATGACAATCCCCTGTCCACAAACGGAGCAAGAGCTAGAGCCCTACAGAAAAACATCCGTCCGACATAGAGAGAAGAGTATAAATTTATAAATCCAAAAATATTAAGGGCCCGTTTGGATCCCGGAAAAATAACAAAGAAAGATGATAGGTGGGAAAACATAGAGGACTATTAGAGGGAATGAAATTGTGAGGAAAAATAAAAGGTTAGCTAAAACTCAATAAATCTTAAATCCAAAAGTATTAACGGATTCCAAAAGTGCCAAAGAAAGGGATAAAGATGCCTTGAAAAGATATATTGTTGTAGTTGGTATTACCTTGGATAATGGCATAATGCAATGAAAAATGATATACATGTGTTTTGATCCCGAGAAGTGCTAGTGAAAGGGGAAAAGATTCCTTGAAATGATACATTCTTATGATTGGCATTATGTACTTAGCATATTACCATGGAACTGCAAAGAAAAGTGAAATTCGGAGTAAAAGTTTAAGTTTCTGACTCTAAATATATTAGAAATGAATCAACAAATAATATCAGTTTTGACCAAATTGTTAAATAATTCTAATGCGTTTTAGTCTATCTTTGGTTTCACTTCAAATTATCTTCATGTTTTCCTCTCTACTTTCTTTCCATAGTATTTCCCGTATTCCAAACGGACCCTGAGAATCATAATAAGAAATAAGGAATGTCCATTATTAGATAGCTCACCCTCCTGCTTTAGCAGGTTTCGTGACTTGGCTACCAGCCCACACCATAGCCATTATTTTTAGGAATCTGCAGAAACCTGTTTCTGGTTAGACCTCTCGTACACAATGTAAATCTTGAAAACAAAAAAATTACCTTTTTACAGCAGCACCATAACCCATTTTCCCAGGTGCAGGAGCAACATATAACCTAAATACAATGAATCTCAAATAGGTTTTTAATGAAAACATGCATTAAATAGATTGATAGATAACTGTAGAATATATTTATATATAGTCAAATGGTGGCGAAACTCATAGCCTATGTTTGGAATAGAAAAAATGGCAGGGAAAGGAAAAATGGGCAAGGAAAATAGTTTTTTAATGTTTGATTTAAAGGAAAATCAAATTTGTTTATAACTTTTAATTTGTAAAACATATATGTACATTCTTTTTCTTCATAAAACAGAAACATATATACTAATTGTTTTGAGATTGATTTTTGTATTTGNCCCCCCCCCCCCCCCCCCAAAAAAAACCTCTGCTTTCCTCCTAATTCCTTTTTCTTTCCCTAGCATTTTCTGAATTTCAAACAGACCCATAAGGAACTCTAAAGATTATGCTTTTAGCGGTAGAACATAGATAAGGATGATATATCATTTTGTTATGCACTTTTCATACCACACGACGAGAAATGCGGTGAGATAGTAGGCAGTATTCAGTAGCCCATACGATAATACCCCTGCAATGCCATATCTTCCCAGTTTCTTCAAAATTCTGAAAAGTTCAAGAAATGATAATTAGTCTCAAGTGATGAGCTCACAAAGGACTATTCTGTAATGCTGCTTGAAATGAATTCATTTTTACACTTCTGCACACACATACTTAATACAAAAAACTTAAAGTAAAAGTGTAAAACAAAAAGAAAAAGGAAGAAGAATGGATAGCAGACAATTTGCATGAGCGCAGCCTCCTTCGTGGATTGCGTTTGAAATCTAACCAAACACTATTTGTCAGAGCATAACATTAAACATTACATACCCTTTAGCAAAAAAAGGTTCTTTTTTATCATCACTCCCATCACCTGCACCTGCACCTGAATAATAAACAGATACACAATCTTTAATGTTGAGTCATGTTGATGATGTCAAAATATGCACCATTATAGTTCAGTTAAAAGTTCCACACTATATACCTTGTAGGTCTGGGAGGCTATGTTGAGAATCCTGTGGTTTGCTAGAAACCTTACCATGCGCAATAAGAGATACATTAACCATCTTAATCAAGCTAAACACATGAAGCAACTTTAGAACATCTAAGAGGTGTTTAAATCCATGATCACAACCTAGGATAGTGTCATGGGTTTCTGATCTGTTATATGGAAAAAGGCGGTGGATTGACTCTATTCAAAAGCCCAGAGTAACCGGCATAAGCAGTTTAAAGTAGAACATCACATTACTAAAACGATCTGCTCATGTGGCAAATCCATTCATCAAAATTGAGACGAAAGAATCCCAAGGAGGATCATCCAGACTGGTCACCATTGAAGGTGCAATCTACTTTGATTATAATGTAACAAACTTCAAATAAAATAGCGAGGAAAATATAGGCGAAGTATGGGAAGAAAGAAAATGTGAGTGAAAATAACATTTTTGTTCAAACTCAATTAAATTACCCCGTAGTATTTTTTATATTTGCTAATATTCATTTTATTCTTTTTACTATATATAGACCAAAAAAAATTAAACACATGCATTAAAAGTTGAAACATAAAACAACAAAGCAAACCATTTTGGATAAGTACGGACGTGCGCGTGGACAACCAAAGTCGGAGTATATGAATAATGGTGTCCATTCACTTCAATTAGTTGAGGTTAATCGTCGCATTAACACACCGCCTAAGGGTAAAAACTCCTACAGCTGGCATATGAGTGAATGTCAGTCTTGAACAGCAACTACTCCAACCTCCTTTACAAATAGCGTAGCTTAGGCTTATGCTAAACTCTCATCTTTGTTTTAAGACTTCCCGTGTCTCAGCTTCTTATTTAGATGTGTTCTTGAAGATGTTCAATTTGACTGGATTATCCTTGAGCGTACTTAGAAGAATAAACAGAATCATTTTAAGGAGAGAGTGTTTCGCTCGACTCATTCAGCCTAAATACTTTAGGAAAATGAATTTTTGTTTCGCCAAATTTGAATTATTTCGAAAAATATCTTCGAAAGACCATACTTCCTACACAATACTCCTAAAAAGCTAGCTACCACACAATTCCAAGCTCAAAATCAAATGGAAATGCAAATAAATGAATCAATTGAAACCACAACAACTCGAGAAGCACCAGTATAATCCAGACATTAACGAAATTGAAAGCGAAAATGCAAAATCAGAACAACTTTACATCGGTATCACTATGGGAGGAGCAGCGAAGTGTTGGCAGATAATTCCTGTAAATCAGCTCGTTCCCGCGAGCTTCCGGAAACCTAGCTTTCTGAGCATGTGAATCCAAGGAAGACGGCTATGGTTCAGCAGGAAAAAAAAAGTGTGAAAAAAACTAAAAATAAAAGTATAAAATCAAAACTTCGAAGAGAACGGCGACTTGCCTGGCGGCGTCGAGGATGAAGAGGAACGAGAGGCGGAAGAGTTGTGCGGCGGAGCGACGAACGTGGTACTGTGAACCACGGCGAGGAAGACATGAAATCCGAAGCTCGCAGTAAACTGAGTAAAGATAAGAATCAAAAGCGAAGCAATTCTACAACCGCTCTTACCTTCTCCCAGTCTATCTTCACCATTTTCGATTTGGCTTTGCCCTTTTAAGTTTCATAAACCTCCTTCGGTCCTTCCAACTCCAAATATTCACGTGAATGGGCAAGACAAGAAAGAAAGTCTGTATTTTGTCCCGTTTGGGAAGGGACTTCACAAAATTTGAGGAATTAAAAACTTTGCACAATTTTAAAAATTTACATAATTTTCACTTTGTTTAAAAAAATTCCACATTTGTTTTTTCCTCAAAGACTCCAAAAATTCGAGTTCACTACAATCTAGTGTCACGTTGATAAAATTGACGGTTCTTATCTCTCCAAAACCCTCCTGAAAAATTTTCATCTCGTCCTGATCCGAACACACTCACACCCCCTTCAATTGCACTCCAAGTTAATTTTAACTTTGTAGTCAAATTTAACTCCAAAATTAAAATTAACTCTAGGGGTATAATTGAAGAGGGTGTGGTGTATTATTCGGTTCGGGGCGGAGTGTGAGTTTATCGAGATATTAGAAGAGCAAGAATCATCAATTTTACGAACGAGCCAATCAGAGCACTTCCGAATTATGATTTCCAATGTTATGGAAACAATGGACTAAGGTCCCGTTTGACATCAGTGTTAAAGATTAGCGTTACCATTTTAAAAAATGTTATCTGACGAATAGCTTTTAGCGTTAGCATTTTTGAATTAATATACACCGTTAATTCAAAAATATACATAGTTAATTCAAGGCGTTACTTAGATGGATTTTTGAGGGCGGGTGGGATACTCTAGACCGGCTCGTTTGCATATTTGGACGCCCTTTCATTTTTCTTTCTCGTTTCAATAGATTAGCTCTCTCTCTCTCTCTCTCTCTCCTCCATTGTTTCACAGTAGCCGGCCACCTTCAGCTCAAGAACCTCTCACCGAACCACCATGTAAGTCCATCTCTGAATCTTTACATCTCACCTTTATCTCAATCTTTTGTGTTTCTTGATTCAATTCATCAAAAAAACTATTCAATCCGCAATCTTATTCAACTCAATTTCTTGCTTTTCCTGCGTGTTTTTTTTTCCAATCATTTCTTACAAACAATAAAATCAAGCTCCAGCTTGGATTTCCAGTCGCTATCCGCAATCCCGGCGATGGGCTGTAACACGAGAGAGAAGCATATCCGCGCCAGTCGGAAGACCCGATCGGCGAAACCCGACCCGGAACTCGCCAAAAGCAAGAACGCTTCCGAGAGAGCCGCGATGTCTAAATCCGCCATGGATTCCGGGATCCGGCCTTCCGATTGCTGTGCGGGAAGTAACTGTCCGGCCAAAACCTTGATGAATCCGAACCAGATTCCCGGAGTTGACGAGAATGGCTGGGGTTACTGTACCGAGGAGCAACTGGAGGAGATCCTGTTGAGGAATTTGGAGGTTCTGCACAACGAGGCCATTGTTAGGCTCATTTCGTTTGGGTATACGGAGGATGTGGCTTTGAAGGCTGTGCTTAAGAATGGGTTCTGCTATGGAGGAATGGATGTGCTGACCAATATAATGCATAATGCCTTGTCTTACTTGAACAGTTCTGATAGTAAACGCTCCGAGGATTCCGAGAAGAACAATTTCACAGATATGAAGCAGATGCTGGAATACTCTTTGGTTGGGATGGTTTGTTTACTCCAGCAGGTTAAACCACACTTGAGTAAAGGGGATGCAATGTGGTGCTTGCTAATGAGTGATCTTCATGTGGGCCGTGCCAGCGTGATGGACGTCCCCCTTCTTTCCCAGCCAAATGGTGTCTCGAATGCTACACCATCTTCGGTGTGTAGGTTTCACGAGAACCCTAATGATTTAAATGGGAATTTCATGCAGAAAGAGATTGAGTGCCCGAAGAGGTTCAATCTCTCTCCTTCAATGAAGAATCTGTTGAAGAGGAATGTTGCGGCTTTCGCTGCTGGTTTTAGGTCAAACACTAAATCTTCGCAAAACCAAACGCGGGCCGGGCTAGGAATGGTCGAAGAGGAAGGTGGTGCTGGAAAGGGTGAGGAATCCGGCCAAGACGTGGTCCTTTCAGTTTTGAACAAATTCCGTGATTTGAATCTTGAAGAGAGCATGGATCAAAAGGAGGAGACAATTGTTAGTTTGGTCCGTCAGGCAAAGGATCTTGAGAGGCAGGTTAAGGAACGGAAGGAGTGGGCCCATCAAAAAGCAATGCAGGCCGCAAGGAAGCTAAGCAATGACTTAACTGAGCTTAAGCTGCTGAGGATGGAGAGGGAGGAAACACAAGGCGTGAAGAAAGGGAAGCAGGTTCTAGAAGATAATACCATGAAGAGACTGACAGAAATGGAGAACGCACTTCGTAAAGCGAGTGGTGAGGTGGACCGTGCCAACTCAGCCGTGAAGAAGCTTGAGAATGAGAATGCAGAGATTAGAGCAGAGATGGAGGCTTGTAAACTCAGTGCTTCCGAATCTGCAATGACATGTATGGAAGTTGCCAAGAGGGAGAAGAAATGCCTGAAGAAGCTTTCAGCTTGGGAGAAGCAGAAAGCCAAACTTCAAGAGGATATTGCATCTGAGAAACAGAAGATTTTGGAGTTGGTCGCACAACTGGCTCAGGTTGAGGCATCTAAAAAGGAAGCCGAGGTGCGTTCTGTTTAGAAACCGATTATATAATTAATGGCTTCCTAATTATAACAATTTCATTTTCCATTTTCCAATCGATGTTTAAAAATGTAAAGTACATATAGATATTTGTATCAGCTGGTCAAGGCTAATTGCCTAAAGTTAGCTACAAATCTATCACGGTTGTGATAGTGGTTTATGTGTGACTAGATAAGCTGTAAAGTATGCTCTATCCTAAAATTCCAGCAGGATAATGCAATGCGCTCATCCATTTTTCAAGCATTGATGAACAAGGTGTTTGGTTTTTATTTGCATAAGTTTGTTTTTGTATTTTTTTGACGACATCTTAGTTTACAACCGGGCTAGGGCATATCATATTGAACACTTCATGATAGTTTTTGATATGTTGAGATTGTACAGCATTTTTCTTAAACGAGCCAAGTGTGAGTTTGGGGAGAAACAAGTTTGTTACTTAGATCTTGTCATATCAGCTGAGGCCATTTTGCAGAGTGATTTAGGTCACACTTACCACTCATTTCATCCCTTCATAGCGGTAAGCTTGGCCCACTTTTTGTTATGAATATTTGCTTCAGTGTGAGTTCTTTTAACACCATTTTCATTCATCTCTTTGGGGTTAATAGTACCATTCCAGATTTCTTGAGGAAAAAAGCTCTCCCTTTAATTGTCGTTACTTGTTAGCATCGATGCAAGCTTGATGTTTGACTTAAGCCAGTTTGCTCATTTATCTTCTTGAGTTGTATTTCTGCTGTTCTGAATTTTGTCTAAGGCAATTTCTTGTTCATCACATGTAGTGAGATTTTTGGACTAATTCTTAGTTTCTTACCCTTTTGCTCAACCTGTGGAGAAGAAAGTTTAAACCCTGAAACCGCCATCCAAACAAACCCTAAGCCAACAACTTTCTCACATCTATTTTTTAATTTTGTTTTTCAAATGCTGTTTCTGGTGACAGGCAAAGTGGTGGCAGGAACAGAAAGCCAAGGAGCAAGCAATGGCACAAGTAGAGGAGGAACGGAGGCTCAAAGAGGCCACAGAAGTCAATAACAAAAGAAAGCTCGAGGCACTTCGCCTCAAGGTGGAAATAGACTTCCAGAGACAGAAAGATGACCTCCTTCGCCTCGAGCAAGAACTTTCCCGCCTCAAATCATCGTCCGAACAAACTGCCGACACCCACAACAACCATCATAATTCCGTTACTACCCCTGGAGACATTGCCAGGTTGCTGCAGGAATTGGACAACTTTGAGAAGAGTTCTGCTCAAGAAAAAGAGGACAACGGGTGTGACAGGGAGTGCATAATTTGCTCAAAGGACGAAGTCTCTGTTGTTTTCCTCCCTTGTGCTCACCAGGTTTTGTGTGCCAACTGCAACGAGAGCTATGGGAAGAAGGGAAGAGCCACGTGTCCATCCTGTCGGGTCCCGATTGAACAGCGTGTTCGCGTTTTTGGTGCGTCTTCTTAAGTTGTAACACCTCCTTTTGCAGCCAGCCAAGGATATGACATTATCATAGATAGCAAGAAAAAAAGAGAGTAAAGTCTATACATTTCTTTTGTTTTTTATGTTTGGTGGGTCTTCTAAGAAGACAGACATATTTGATGTTAAATAAAGTTTTCCTGTTTGTTTTGGAAGATCCATAGCTCTATGTATGGGTCTAAATGTAGTGTTCACTGCACACTGTTAAACTTTACACAGTAAACACATCTCATTCCTTTGAACCAAACAGACATTGCTGCAAGAATTAATGAAAGCCACTCTAACATTTTGACAATGTATTCATTTTTATTTTACTGTTCACTAGCTCAAAAACATTTGAAATCATAAAAGAATAAAGCACCAAAAACCTCCAGATATTTGGGAAATCTGCAGTGAAGAATTGATGACCAAATGGTTTTACTGCATTCCCCAACTTCCTAGCTACCTACCTAGCTTCTCCCCAATGCTGTTAATTTTTATCATAAAGACCATTCAAAAAAGAAGCCTAAAAAACATGTGGGTCCCATAATTTTTCTTTTTTGAAAGAAATTTGGAAGCTATTGGCCCCCTCTGACATGTGGAAAAAATATATGTGTAGGCTGTCAGTGAATGTAACTCAACTAGTTGATATCAGAAGTGTCACAAGGGGCAGGCACGAGTTTGAATCCTAACAACTATAACTGAGTCTGAATACTAACAACTGTAATGAGAGACTATCATGCACGAAAACCCGGCCAACTCATCACGTCTCACAAAACTTCATTCTATATCAGTTAGATTGAGACTATATCTCAATTCATTCCTGTCTAGCAGGTTTTATCACCTCTTTTTTTTCAGATATAGGTATGGGAAGAAGAATAAAAAAGATGTGTGGTTTCACTTTCAAAGTCAAGTGAATGAGACATGGCTTTTAAGAAAGCAGCCACCACTTTTCATCACAGCTTATTCTTAAGACTTCACTCATCAAATGACCAAGTCCAACTTTTCATTCCACATATCTTCTCTAGCTAAGGCTTTGTTTGGTACAAGAGATGTGAAGAAGAAAGAAAGAAAGACATAATAAAGTGGTTGTTTGGCATGGAGTGAATTAGTGAAATAGGAGGAATTAAATTTTTGGTTTCCACTATTATTATTTTTCTTACTATAAGGTTATTTTTGTCAACTTAATTACCCCAGGTTTCTTAATCAATTTTTTATCGGATTTGAATTAAGGTGGTCGTTGAAAAATCAAAACTAACAATTAAAAATGATGAAACTTTAAGCAGTGTTGCTTCATGCATGAAAGAACCGTTCTTTCGGAATAAAATAATACTCCCCGAATTTTTTTTAAGCAAGATATCTTATTGACGAAGAGTAAAATTACTCTTAGTGTTAACAAGAAACTAATTTTTATTTCCAAGCAAAATTTTATGCTTTTATAATGAAAGTGTTCCCAAAGAAGTTAATTAAATGGACAAATAAATTTAAGAAAAGCTCTTTTTGTGTGTTCTTCTAGGGTGATATTTCTCTTTTTTTTTTAAACTAAAAATCCACATTATAACTAACCTTTCTTTCTTGTCACTCTTTCTTCTCTATTTCTCTCCCTGGCAAAACACATCACTTTTTTTTTTTGCTTAACAATAATTTTTTTGTCAAACACGATCTTAATCATCCCACAATTTTAGCAAACTTAGCTTGGAGCAAAAGTTGCCTTTTTAAATTTGAAATGACACTTCCACCATCAATAGAGAATTCATCCATTTGTGAAATTAAAGTTCAATCCAAATTTCAAGTAAAATTCAAAAAGTTATAGAGGAATTGATTCAGTGTAACCATAAAATAAAGGAAGAGTATGTACGCAGACAGAACTCCTATTTAAAATTGATTAACTGTTATTCTAAAATAAGAATCTCCTTAGAATCATGAAAAATGACTTCTAGAAAAATACTCCCTCCGTCCATGTATGATCTTCCATTACGCGTTACGAGGTTTGACCGACTTTATTTTCAATTCAATTTAATTCATTATAGGAGTAAAATTTTAAAATAAAATTTATATAGTAATAAACTACATGAAAAGTTCTACAAAAGTAGAAGCGACAAGACTATATTATTGTATGAAATGACTAGTAAAATTGAGCAAACAAAGTGAGTAAAGTTTGACCCTGTAAAATAGTGTCTGGGGAGATTTATGGTGGACAGAGGGAGTAAGTTCATTTTCTCGTGTTTGGTTGAAAGTTTACAAAAATAGAAAAAGGTAGTTTTTCTTGTTATAACATTACAAAGTGGATGTGGTAAGTTTTGATCAAAGAAGTAAGAGAACTGTGGAAATTAATTGTCTCCCACCAGTAAAAAAAAAAGCTGAAATCTTTTTCCTACTCATTTTCTACTCACTTCAGAAATCATGTTCCGATGCTTCATATTTTTCAGAACAACCAAACACCAGAAAATGAAAAAACGGCTTCTCGAAGCCATTCCCCTCCCTCCTAGCATGCAAATTAGAAAAGGTTTAGATTTCTTGAGGAGCCATGGCAACCTTCATATGGCGTGCCGCCATGTTCATTTCCCAAAATGCCCATGAAAGGAGACAAAGAAGGGGGAGAGGGCTCGCGGTTATCATACGGTTGCCATTGTGCCGCGTTTGGATGATAAGAATAGTGCTGAGGGCACTCCTTCGAAGAATCAAGAACCATATCGGCCGACATCCAGACGCTGCAAGTGTCTGGCTGCATGCCGAACTCATATTCTCCCGCGCTCACCGCATGGTAGCGAGTAGGGGAAGTAATGGGAGTGGAGTAGTTGCTCCCGGAGCTCATGTTGAGGGCAAATTGGTCATTTGGTGTTGTCACATGCGATGGATGGTAGGGGGGAGTGATGGGAGTGGAGTAGGCACTCTCGGAGCTGCCCATGTTGAGGGCAATTTGGTCATTTGGCGTTGCAGGTAGAGATGAATAATATTTCTCTGCACTGTTATTGCTTGAACTGCTGCACCCAGCCTTCTCTTGCAGTTGAGGGTGATTCCTCTTCACAACTCGGCATAGGGCAAAGGGACCCTGTCAAAAAAAAACCAGGAGGCAAAAGTTATGGACACATTTGCCCCTACAAAAGCTTCCAAACCGAAAAATGCATGAGGCAAAAAACCAAAAAGAAATCATCGATGAAGCTTATAATTCCGCTCACGTAATAAGACCTAGATTACAATAATAATATTATGACCTGAAAGATGAGGTTGCCATGAGAATCCTCTTGGGAGATGCGATACTCGTGCATGACCCAATCGGTCCTATCCCCAAGAGGAGCCCGCCCGCGGTAGAAGACCAACGTCTTTCGGTACCCGGTCGTGTCGGGCGGGCAAACGATCTTCCGGTCTTTGCCCGTGGCCTTCCAGTATCCGGATTTGGTGGCTCGGTTGGTTCTTGATCCGTTTGGGTACTTCTTGTCCCTTGGGCAGAAGAAGAACCACTCCATGTCCCTCTTTGGCAGGAATGATTGATCTGCATTTGGTTCATGGGGAATTCAAAAGAAAAAAAAGGAAAAATTAACTATTTTTATATATAATCGGGATCCACTTTCTAACTCAAAAGCTTAAATTGACAGAGAGAGCTTCACTCTCCTATATATGTTAATGATATTTTATGACTTTTCCAATGTGGGAACTGCAACAATTATAATTTAAATATTCTTTTGTTGTAATATGACTTGAATGAAATTGACATAAAATAAGTACATAGGACATACTTATTATTCTTGCTTACAAGTAAAAAGATATATGTCATTAGCAGACTTGTGAGTTAAAAATAATTTAGCAGTTTTGACCCACTTATTATAATTAGAAACATTATTGAATTTTTGAATGGATGAAAAAGCAAAGAAATGAAACATTTTCAATTTTAGGAGGAAATAAAGTTTGCAGACGACAAAAAGCAATAAAGCATAATCCACTTTTTCAAACATGCATAAGCCGTTTCAAATGGGGAGTTGAAGCTAATTAAAAAGTTAAACTCGTTCATGAATTACCACTTTTCGAAATTCTTTCCACACCATTAATTAATTAATTAATTAATTAATTAATTAATTAATTAATGCTCCCCAAATGTATTAGATATATGATCCAAAACATAAGAAACTACTACTACTATGAAATTTACATCATTATAACCCTTCCATACATATTACTATGTCACATATGGAAAGTGCACAAATAAAATTACGCACATAGGACGGAAACATATTACTTTTTTCCTAAATAGGATCAGTTTTATTTACTCTAACGTTTGACAATTAAAAATTCTAAAATGTCTTGCTTTTGTGGAAAAAATGACCAATTACACAATTCAAGTAAAATAAGATATTATTAAAAATGATTTGAATAGTCATTGAAATAATCAATCATTAACATTTGTAGAGACACTCGTATAGCTAATGACCACATTCGTAGAGTCATTTGTATAATCAGTCATTATCCAATACTTCTTACTAATGAGAACATATATGACACATCATATTGAATTATGTGTCATAAAGGGAATAAAACATACTTAGTCATATTCAGATAAATGTACTATCTTTTAGTCCTATATGGAGCAAAATTTTCATAATGCATCACACATCGAGAGCATTTTCTAATACGGAGTACATTGTTAAACACCAGGCCAGTGCATTTGAAGTCGAGCAATATGATGCTCCGTTCGAATCTAAAGTGATTTCTACTCTCTTAACCCACCTCGAAACCTTTCATTGTATCTCTATCTTGTTTTGCTCATATGCTAAAGTATTTACTAGCTTACATATGAAAGAAACATTGATGTGTGGAGGGCTAGGGAGTTTGTGGGGATTAGAGAAGAACATAATCACTCTGATGAGGTCAAAAAGAGCACTTAAGACCCTTAAATTGGCCAATGTCATTATATTATGAAATGAGTCTTTTATATTTGTGTCAATCATTATCAAATATTCATCTAGTATATATGTATATACTCTCATCTTATTTTAAAATACTTTCTCTTTTTTTTTCTAAAACACCTTCACTTTCTATGAAAAAACTATTTTTACCCCTACTTTTCCTTACCTTACCTATCACAACATTCTTTTTTACTAATAATCTATCTATCACATTCTACTTTTATCTATCACATCAAGGGTAAAATTGGAAAGTCAACTAAAAATATATACGAGTACTTTTTATTTCTTCTAAAAGTAAAAATGGGAACCGTTTTATGAAACGGAGGGGGTATGATATATGATGAGTGTATGCATGTATCCATTGAGACAATATAATATAATTCACACAAAACCAATGTCTAGTCTTGTAAACAAATGAAATGAAATGAAGAGAAGAACCATACATATATATAAGCATGGCAATGGAAGATGATGAGATCAGAGTTATAAAATAAATAAATATAGAAGAAGACAGACCTGGGAGCTCCCATGGATCAACTTTATACAGATCAACGACAGGGATGACTTCTAGCTCTATTTCCAGCCCCTGGCTCTTCCTCTTCAAGTAGTACCCCACCAGTTCGTTGTCTGTCGGATGGAACCGAAACCCCGGTGGCAATGACGCTCCCACCATTATACTATATTCTTTATCTTCTTCTTCTTTTTCTTCTAAAACTAGCCAATCCAAACAGAGAAATTATATATATATTGCCCAGACAAAAAAAAAAAAGCTGGTTTTTTTATGTTGGGTTTTCTGCAATTTTTGTATCCAAAAGTTTCAAGATTCTGATTGATCAAGCTGCAGGATGGATTGAGCTCCAAGAAATGCCAGGAACATCAAGATTCTCATGAACATGATCAAGAAGAATCATTTTGCTTTATTTTTTTTTTTAAAAAAAAGAAAGTCTTTTTTTGTTTAATAAATAAATGACAAGAGAGAAAATTAAAACAGATTAATAAGATTCTTGGGTTTGTGTGAGAGTTCCAGAAAGGAAAAAAAAAGAAATGATTTTTTTGATATAGAAATAATGAATTTTTATAATTGTTGATAGAGTGACAATTAATAATAATAATAATAGGTGGGACTTGGGAGGGAGGTGTGTGGAGTAAAGAGAACGGAGATTGGGTATTTATAAGATGAGGGGTAAAAAAGAAAGAAAAAGAAAGAAAAAATAGGGTAAGGATTTCTACATTGGCCCCACCAGAACCTGAGATGTGTTCACGAAAAAACTACTACGGTACCCTAAGTTTTATGAAAAGAATTAATGGGTAATTTTAATTTTTAAAATATACTACGGGATATCTTAAATTATGTAAAAACTTACTAAAGAGTGACTTTTCATCACTCTTCCGTCAAATTTATTCTTCCGTGAATTGATATCATCACAATGGACATCATCACCACCTCATCATGATCACCATCTTCCTCCTCGTTTTCTCCTCTTCTTCTCTTTCTTTTCTTCTTCTTCTTCTTCTACTACTACTACTAGTATTATTATTATTATTATTATTATTATTATTATTATTATTATTATTATTATTATTATTATTATTATTATTATTATTATTATTATTATTATTATTATTATTATTATTATTATTATTACTACTAGTACTACTATTACTATTATTATTATTTTTATTACGGAATATTAATTACTTGTTTGTCTACTCTAATTTTTTTTTTAAAAAAACACTAATTATTATTTACTTCTTCTATTATTATTACTGAGTATTATTATTTCCATCATTATTAAAAATTAATTAGTAGCTTTGTTACACCAAATGGTGTGTTTGATAATCAAACAAGATATGAATTTTGATATTTATAGATATGAGAATTGTTCTTTATTGTTTGGTGTAGCCAAAAGTGACACCCAATATCTTTAAATCTTATAAATCCTTCAAATGGAAGGTTTCGTTATCTCCCGAATTTCGGAGATATCAATATGAGAGTTTGATATCTCTCTCAATCGTTAACCATTCTCCGTCACCGGCTAACATCGTCATCGCCAACCACCCCCGTTGCCGGTCACCCCTGCTTATCATTAATTAAATCATTATTTTAAATCTCTACAAACAAATTCCTGTCAGATTTTAAAACCAATATCATTTTCTTCTAAATTCTTATCTTATATCTTATCGTGTCTTCAAAACTCACCAATCCGGCCCCAATTTTTCAATAAAATCACACTAATTTTTATTTATTTATTTATTACGAAGTATCATTTTTTTCTTAATATTGAGAATTACAAATTATATTTTGAACTAATTAAATATTGGAGTAAAACAATTTTAAATTTATAAATTATACATAAATAAATTACCAAAACTAATTTTTAATTAAAGACTAAAAATGTTTTACTTTTTTCATACATGTGGAGATTGCAAAAGATTAATGAGGTATAAAAAATTTTGGTGGGAGCATGAGTGTTATTTTTATTAAAAATTAGAGTAGTAAACAACTAATTAATAATAATAATAATAAAAATAATAATAATAATAGAAATAGAGATAATCATGGGTGGCCCAGAGGGTGTGCAAGTTTCAAACCGTACAGGGCCCCTAAAATTTCGGGACCCCATATTTTAAATGTGTATTATTTAGTTGTTTAAACATTTGAATTGTTATAAAAGTGATTATTAAAAATAAATTCCGTATTAATTTGGAAGCATAAGTACTCCGAAAAAAATAAAATAAGCCCAAAATGTTAATTTTGTACATGGTTAATTTCATTTTGAATAATAATAATAATAATAATAATAATAATAATAATAATAATGGGAGAAGAAGAAGGAAAAAGGGAAGGTGCACTGTGGGAACAACAAAAAATTGCTGCCAGGTACTCTCTATTTTGTTGTAATAACGGTCTGGTACCCCTAATTTTTAAAATATACTCTCAGGTACCCCAAATTATAAAAAAATATACCAAGAGGTGATTTTCCCGCAGGGTCATGGTGTCAAAGTGATGGGCTAGGGCTGTAGGGGTGGGGGTGGGTGCCTGCGGGTAGGTGACAGGGGAAGGGTAGGCTGCAGGGGCAGGGGTGGCTGTCGGGTAGGGGGAGTACGAGGCGGGTGGGGGGAGGGATGGGTGGGGCCGGGGTGGGGTGGAGTGATAGTAATGGGCAAAGGCATTAGGGTAGGGGTAGGGTGGGGGGCGAGGGCCTAGGAGACCTGGGGTAGGGTTAGGGTTTTGGCTTGGTGAGTTCCAAGATCCGTAGCCTTCCGAGTATCACTGCCCGCTAGAGTTCAGGCCCCTGCCGCATTCGCGGCCTTGACCACCACGACCGCCACCTCAGCCAGGGTAGCCACGGATGGCCGCCGGTTCGGCCATGCGGCTGCTGCTGCTGGTTCGTGCCCGGCTAGCCGCCGGTTCGGCCCGCAAGGAGGGCTGTCCCAGTCTCGAGGGAGTGAGTTCGAGGAGCAGCAACACCGACCAGACTTGGAGAAAATTGGGTTGGGGCTGTTGAAATTGCATCCAAGACGTCTGGGCTTGGAGGTCGTCCGGTAAGTCCCGCAAGAGTTGGAGCACGAGTTGCGATTCAGAGACCGGGACGTCGACGTCGTCAAGCCAATCTGCGATGTTTCTGAGAGTTTTACAATATGTGGCCATGGGCATGGATCCCTTAACCGTTGTGCGGAATTGATGTTCCAATTTCATAGCCCGGGCGGGTTTGTTGTCGTGGAAGAGATCATGGATAACCCGCCAGAGTTCGGAGGCCATTGAAGTGGAGGAGATAACCAAGTCGGAGACCTCATCGATCACCGTGGAGAGGATCCATCCTTGGAGCAAAGCATCGAGTTGAAACCATTCATCGTCGTCGGCGGACGAGGGGATCTTGGATCCGGAGAGAAACCCATGGAGATTACACCGGCGAACAAGAAGCAAGAAGAGGCGACACCATTTTTTGTAATTTGGTTGGGAGAAGCTCAATTGTATGGGAACATGGAGTTTGACGTTGGATATGGTCGTGAATGCCAAGTGAGGGGAATTGGAGGAGGAGGTGGATGAGGTAGATTTGTCCATCGTTTTGTCGGAAGAATCCGTGAATGGAAGAAGAAGCCAAGGGAGAGAGGTGAGGGGGGGGCTGCGGCAGTGAGGGTGCCGAGAGAGAGGAGGAGCCTAGAGCAGGTGAAACAAATTAGGTTTTTGGAATATGCTCCGATACCATGAAGAATGAGTATGTTAAATATATTGAATATATATTTATGTTAAGTATATTTAATGTATTTATTATTATATCATTGTATTATTGGTAGTTACCTTTTGTATAGATTTCCTTAATTGTACTCCTACCATCATTAGGAGTTCGGTCTTGTATATAAATACGATTGTACTCCTACATGTTTAATAATTAAGAGAAATTTAATTAAAGAGCATTAAAATATAATGACTTTCTCTAAATAGCACCACATGTGTTTTTCTTCCCAATGTAGCACCTTTAGTCATTATGCATTAGTCATTATTCAAGTAAATATTCACTATCAATGGACATTATGGACATTATTAAGTGTTACTTAGGGAATAAAACAATTTAAGTGTTATTTATGAAAATGACTTAAGTTTTATTGCTATTTAGTGCAAATATTTCTTTAATTAATCAAAAATATTCATTCTTCACTCATAATGAATCCATCATCGGACATTATTTTTGGGATAATTTTGCCAAATATAATCTCTAGTGGTGATTAGTGAACTAGACCGCGTAATTGCTTTTAGATGAGAAGATATAAAGGGTGATTAGAGATTTTTTAAAGTACGAAAAGCATGATTAGCTAAATGAGTTTAATTTATAGTACAAAATCGCCCCAAACAAAGCAAGTTTCCCACGTACTCCCCTTTTATTTACTGTTAATTTAATTTATACCCCTCCCCCACCCATTGAAAAGTTTTTGCTTAGAAAACGCATCCCTCTTCTTTGTCCCGAAATAAAAGTTACAATATGATAATTTGTAGAGTAATTTACTTAAATAGCACTAAAACATAATGACTTTCTCTAAATAGCACTACATGTATTTTTCTTCCCAATGTAGCACTTTTAGTCATTATGCATTAGTCATTATTCAAGTAAATATTTGCCAACACAAGACATTATGGACATTATTAAGTGCTATTTAGGGAATAAAAAACAATTTAAGTGCTATTTAGAAAAATGACTTAAGTTTTAGTGCTATTTAGTGCAAATATTTCTAATTTGTATATGACAACGGATGAATTTCATTTTTGAAATAATTTATTTTAAAATTAATTTAGAATTTTAAAAAGCTATAAAGTACTCGTAATATAGTGATACCGTAGGTTTTATATATTACTTTCTTCTTTCTAGTTTAATTTGGAGAGGTTGATTTCACAGAGTTTAAGAAAATATTGAAAGATAACAAATTAGTGATTAAAATTTGTTTTGACAAATTAAAAAAAAGAAGAATTGTGGTATATAAGTAGGAACAAGACTGAATACATGGAATGTCGTTTCAGTGGCCGGGATACAGAATCAGAGGTGGAAGTCAAGATTGACTCTCACCTAGTACCTAAGGTAGACAGGTTTCGTTATCTTGGCTCAGTAATTCAGGCGGATGGGGAGTTAGATGCGGATGTTGGACATCGGGTTGGAGTGGCTTGGGCCAAATGGCGGTTAGCTTCAGGGGTGTTGTGTGATCCGAAGATTTCGCCTAGAATGAAAGGTAAGTTCTATCGATCCGTAGTCAGACCTGCTATGTTATATGGGGCAGAGTGTTGGGCGGTTAAGAAGACTCATG